CACACACACACACACACGTACACAAACACACACACACACGTTCATCTGTCATTAACTAACTCCTTCTATTTTCACTGTTCTCCTTTAACTTGTGTTTTTATTTCCATTTCCTTGACCCCCAAACATTCCCTTTCATAGACACGCTAACGTAAACTTACATACAAATACACATACAGACACGTGTGCATACACATTTGCGCACACACGCACTTTCACGGGTGTTTCATTTTGTGTTGTTGTTTTTTTTTAGAAGCAATTTCGATTTTACAAGGCAGTTTTCTCTCTTTTAAAAAGTTGATTAGTACTAAAACGTCGCCATAAAATCTCTTCATGGCCCATCGTATACTTCGTGTGGAACGAATGGTTTGATGCTATTGTCTTTAGAATTTGATTGAAACAAACACATTATTATCAACATTAGGCCTCGAAATGGCTATTCATGTTCGGGGAAAATATTATTAATACTATACCTGAAAGGAGAAAAAGTAAATGTGACAATTCTACGTATTTACAAATTTTATACGTAAAGACAAAAAGCTTGACTCTAGGCGGGTAGTTGGGGGGCGCTACTGGTAGGTCCTACTTCTTTACTTTCCCTTTGTAGTTTCTGCCTGTCTGTCTTACTTATTTGCAGCACTAAATAACCATTAATTTCATAATTTGTCGATGCGCTTGTTTACGCAAACAAACAAACAGCTTGATTCCTAGCCCTGAAAAACACCAATAATTATATTACTTATCATTATGACATATCTCAGATAATCTGTTCAATTTGCTCAGTTACCTTACGTGTGTGTGTCTGTTTCCCGGTTCTGTTGTCTGTGGAATGCGAAAAGTGGCAGACACTACGACATATTTTCTTCCCCGAGCTGGAGATGTAGATGAGCTGCATTTCTGACACTAAACCGAAATTATGTTTTGGCTTGTGTTTGATCAGTTAACTGTTATTACTTGCTGTTTTGGTTTAGGGACTGTTGTTTGCGATAGGAGAGTTGTAAATAGTTGTGATCTTTTGGATGAAAAGCAAAGTGGGGTTGAAAGTGTACGGAGTCTTTATTTTATTTTTTTAAATATTTTATTTGCAAACCCCTTTTTATATTTATTTATATATTTTATTTGATTGCTGTTTTGTTTTCGTACGTTTTTGGTGTTTTTTAAGGGGGGAGGGGATTCTCCAAACTCCAACATTTCTTGTCTGTTTACAAGAAATGGGTTAACACATTTGTCAATTGATATATTATTATATTCTCTGTCATAATCGAATCCAATAAAACCTACTTAATTCTTTAGAACATTCTTAAAACATAATATTATATCAATTTTTTTTTCTCTGCTTAATTTTGTTGTGTTTGGAAGAATGAAAATGAAATGTGTGTTATTAGTTCTATGTAGGCCGGGAAAAGGCGTGTTTATTTTGCTGTTTGATAGGTGTT